TGAAGGGGAAAAGAGGAGGGTGGGGAAGGGGACGAAAGGCGGGGGGAAACGAGTTACTTCTCCAGACTTTTCAAGTAAAAATTCTCCCCATTTATTTACAGGCCTCACTAGAGGTTTGTTTTCGCGAAACTGATTGTACAAATCGATTCTCCTTCAGCTTCAGCACACCACAAGACGAACCAGTGCGCAGCTCCATCTGCGTAAATCAGAGAGTTTTATTTGAACACAAAGGCGGGGGCAAAGCAACAAAAAAAGGCATTTGGTGGGAATTGGGCAGGTCTTTACATGAGGGAAGTAAGTGGGAAGTAAGTGGGTAATGAAGATGTTTGTGCTGAGAGAGCGGGACCTCGGAGCAACAAACTCCCATATACAGGAGAGGAATGACAAGGCGCAGTGAGAAATAGAGAAAGACGATCGATGATTAGGAGCGGGAGGAGCAAAGCGTTCACGGATGTAGACATGCAAAATGGAGCTGAGGCAATTCAAAGTCATACATTTGCAATTTCAGAGGCAAGTAATGATTAAAATAAGAATGCAATACCCACTTCCTGATTGACGTACAAAGACCTGCTTCTGAGAGAGACGAAAACAAATGAAAGGAAACAAAACAAAAAAAAAAACGAAGTGGAGACAAATAAGACAGGAAGTGGCGAGTTCCGTTCACTCTCCTCACGTAAAGACCAGCGCAGCTCCGCGTGCTTCAATCAGGAAGTCTTATTGGAACACGAAGCAGGCAGCAAAGCAGAAAGAAGCAGCGCCTACACCCCGTTCACGAACAGGGGGGTGTATGAACGGGGTCCGGCCACCCCGTCACAGTGCCCGTGACCGCACACATAGGTGGCCGGGTGGCCATGTTGCCCCAGCCCCGTAGTTTGTTTTTTTGGCGGGGAGGCAGCTGGAGGTCGGGGGGAGGACTATATATCACGGCTGCGGGGTCAAACTCGGCAGGCAGCCGTGATCACGGCGGCCGCGGTTGGGTGCGGCCATGACTTTCAGGAATTTTTTGAGACTTGAAAAAATTCTAAAATAAAAATAAAAAAATAAATGATGTTTTAGATCTTTTTGAGATCTACATTGCGCATATATATATATTGTCACACTGTAAATCAGAGCACGAAGGCGGAAAAAAGCAAAACAAGGAAAGGAAAGGAAGGAACGAAGGAAAGCCCCACCTGTTCATCACCTCTTACGTACAAGGCCAGCCACGTGGGTGACAGGTTGAGCGCTGGCTGGCCCCATCCCCGTGTGTCACAAGGACCCACTTGCACGCAGCCAAAAGGCAAAGAGGTAAAGAAAATGAGGAGGAAACCAAACCTGACATGGAAAGAAAGGTAATCCAATTGTCACAAAGCAAATAACACATCCCACATATCAACATATCTTTTCTTTTTTCTTTTTTTTTCTTTTTTTTTTCTCTTTTTTTCTTTTTTTCTCTTTTTCTTTTCTTCTTTTTTTCTTTTCTTCTTTTTTTCTTTACCTGTCCCCACCTCGGCAGGTAGGACAGCTACGGTGAGGATGATGTGGATGTTCACAAGGATGCCCAAGGAGAGCTGCGCCAGCAGAGCATTCAGCAGGACGACTAGCACGAACCATCCCATCAAAACAGTCCTGACAGAGGACATGTTGTCCACATGTCAAAAAAACAGCAGGACGTTCATCACAGTGCGGCATCATACAGTTCTGATAGCGTCCTTGGGCACAAAAGGGACAACGTATATCTGGGTGATAGGGATGTGTACAATGATGAGATGTTGGACACCCTTCAGAACAGACGGCGGCAGTCGCAATAGATTGATAATGGCTATGGCATAGATAATGCGTTCCACAGCCAAGGCGCACCGCGTCTCTGTCCCGACAGGTGTCACACGAGAGTCGGTCAATAATCCAGAATAAAGTATGATTCGACAATGCTCTCAAAATTTCATTAACGTCGAAAATGACCTGACTCATCGTCCCACCATCCCACAGTTCCCACTGGGCAGCTGCACGAATGAGTGCCATATAATGCCCGGGTCTGTGTAAAATACAGGCAGAAATATGAGGATGGTTATTGTCGCATGATGCATAAGAAGGTGGCGACCGTGAAACGATAACTGTAAGACATTTACAGTAAAGCCTCCTTTGACTTCGTCTTTGAATTTTAAAAATTCGGAAACTAATTTTCACTGAGGCAAAAGCTGTTTTTTTTTTTTTTGTTAAACCACCAGTACCTTTGTCGGTTCGAAAATACTCGGCCTCCGACCTTTCAGGAGGCCGAAACGAAACGACGGCCGCCGATCAGATTGATCAACGTCAGGCCTCCTGAAAGTTCGGGTACTGGCCAGGACTTGTCGAAACCCGACGCCAAGAAAAACGATGAAACTTATGTGCTTTTTTTTTTCAAAATCAGTAAAATTTTTTGAATATGACCACAACTTCGACAAGGCAAAAGATGTTCAGTTGTCCTTTGGGACATCCGTTAAAATTGGAACGATACAGAGAAGGGGAAGATTAGCATGGCCCCTGCGCAAGGATGACACGCATAAATTGAGAAATGGTCCAAATTAAATAATAATAAAAAAAACTTGTTCAGTTTATTTTTCTGCATAACATTTTTTTTTCCAGAATATTTCGATTTTTTTTTATTTTTTATTTTGGGAAAAATTGTCTGGCGCCCCTCTATTTTCCATTATTTTGCGTGGTGCCCCTCGGCGCGTGGCCACCTCAGGGGGGATTCATAGGGGGAGGGGTCAAGGAAGGTAAGTAATGAAAAACAAAAATGTCGTTTTTTTGTGATTTCGTTTGTAATCAAATCTAGAAGAAAAAGAAACGGGGGGAGTTAGGGGGGTTCAAAGGTGGCCGTGAGTGAAAGGGGCGTTGTGGGTCATGACCACTATGCTAGAGAGAGAGAGGGACAGACAGACAGAGACAGAGA